AAACAAACAACAAAAAACCCCACCAAAACCAAACACACCTTATACTCAGTCAGACTTTCCCATGTTCCAACTTCTTTCTGTTGCCTTTCATCTTTCCACTGTGGGCCTCTCAGAAGTCTGGCTCCATCTCCACTACGGTCTCTCAATAGGTAGTTGTAGACACTTATTACACTGTGTGTGACTAGTTGCACCTGACAAAATTGTAAAAAACCAAAAAAGCTATGTTTTGGGGCATAGGTGGGTTCTGCACTAGCTGTCCCTTCATCCTAGTGACCAGGCTGTGGCAAAAGGGTGATGAGCAGCAAGTCTTAGTGCCCTGGGAACCTGACTGTACCCGCTAAGGGAATTACTGGAGTGTACCCTGACTTCTTTTCCACTCATCCAGGTTTCCTTTGGATGAAAAGTTCATGTGTTTGAGAAGGGGGCACAGCTCAGTCTTCACAGACAGCATGGAGTGAGGGTGCAGGCAAAGCGTACGGTGAAGTACACCTGTTCCGTAGTAACGATTCAGCCTTGACACAGCTGAGAGGAGCTAGTTGTGTTAGATTACTGGAAGCTACTTAAGTAAAATGAGATAAAATAACACGTAGATTCTATCATACCGTATTACAGCTCATCTGGGAGAGCAGTTCTTTTACTTTGCTCTTCTTGCTCCTGGCCAGGGGATGGCAGGGCTGTCGCTGGCCCTAAAGCAGCTCTGTTAGAGGGGCTGATTCTATAGAAAAGTGTTTGGAAGAGTTGAGCCTGGCCTTGTTTTGCAGTAATTATGTTTCTCAATCTTTCAGAGAGAACTTCTCTGAACAAAATAGAAGGGTGGGTGGGGTTTTTTTGTTATCAGTGGCTTTCTTGGATGTATGGCACAGGCACAGCTGGTGCAACAGCTGTCAGAGGCTGAAATACATAGAAGCTTATAGTGAGAAGCAACATGTTTCCAGCCCTCTTTTGTTTGATTATAAACAAATAATTGCAAAAACATAAGCCTATTTTTAAACTAGCCTTCATGATAGAAGTCATCAATTTGTTACGCTTCCTCTTCATTTCAGTTATCATGGCTGTGACATCATTCCAGGTTATGGAAGTTATTGGCCTATGCAAGATCACTTTTTCTCAGTAATTAGGTGGTATAAAGCTTATTCATTGTATCCTTAGCTACACGAGTAGATAGCATGTAATGTGATTGTGAGTATATGTGATACATGTAACTAGTTTCAAGTAATTATTATTCTATAATAGTGGGCATGAAAGCTTGTTATGATTATACAGGCTCTGTAATTCTGCGGTTTAAGAGCACAGTGGAATTCATTTATTGAAAACATTTTTATGGTAAATGACATTAGCTCATCTGCTTGTGTGGTGCTGTATGACCATCAAATCAGTTGACCTTTTTTAGTTCCCTTCTACAACTTTAAATAGCGTGCCATACTGTCCACTGTTGCCCTGATTTAACAATTGCACTCATTCAATCATTAAGCGTAGCTCTCGCTCAGTGAGTCTTCGTGTTGTGGTGAACCACTGAGAGGGAACCGTTCCTGGCAAGCCGCTGACTTGAATCGTAGATGCAGTCCTCAGCACTTCAGAAAAATACACTGCTGATCCTTAGCCAAATACACTGAAACGAATACCATGTTTTCTAGGCATTCACGTACGGGTTCTGGATGTCACCAAAAAGGAGCAGATAGAAAATCTGGCCAAGGAGATTGAAAGGATTGATGTCCTCTGTAACGTTGCAGGGTAACCAGCTTCTATTCAATCCTACTTCTCTCTTTTTCCAGTTTCCCCTTCCTCCAGAAGTAGTTTCTTGTACTTAAATGCATCTTACTTCTTTTGTTGTAATGTATTTTCTATTTTTAATATAAATTTTCATGTGTCATCACTGAACTCTCTGTGCGTAGCTGTGTTACCCAGGCCAAGATAGAACGGCTCTGGAATTTGTTATGTTTTCCCACTCTCTCTACTATTGGCTTTGGCCCTCCTGGCACAACAGTGAGGAAAGCTGATGGTCTGCCAGTGCTCTGTCTTTTTTAATTTCCCTGTTACCAAACATTTCTTTGCACATATCAGATCTGGTTTGTCTCCCTGATACTCATCACAAGAAATATACTGTTGCTTGCTTTCTTCAAGAGCTCTCATCCCTGCTTTTTAAGGTTGGAAGAGTTAGCTATTGCAAAATAGCAATGGAAAAAATATGCATAAAAAGCCATAGAAATGTAAATTACAGATAGTAATTCACTTCATGCACTTATTCTAGGTTTGTTCATCATGGAACCATTCTGGAGTGTGAAGAGCAAGACTGGGACTTCACTATGAACCTCAATGTTCGCAGCATGTATCTAATGATCAAGGCGTTCCTTCCTAAGGTAAGGCTTGGTTGCACATGTGAGGGAGCCATTGCCATATGGTGCTACCGTGTTATACTATAGCATGCAGCTGCACAATACCACTGCTACAAAATATCTGTAAAATATGTATATTAATATGAATTTTATGCAAATCTGGAAACTATCTTGTGAAGCAATTCAATGCCACTGATACCAACATGCTGGTTATATGAGAACAACAATCCAATTCGATAGTCTAGCAGCTTGAGGACACTTGTGTTTGATGGAGTAACTAGGTTTGGGACTACAAAAATTTGTGGACTGAATAGGGGGTTTGTATTCCTGTAAATGCAAAGGCCAGAAGTGGAAGCTGTGACCACAACTGGATGATGACTACGCATTTCAGTGTTGTTCCAGTCCTTTTTGTCTTTTTTTTCTTAGCTGATCTTCATTTTCAAAGGTTCTTTATAACAGCTTAGGTCTCTCGGGTTTTGAGAGGCCTAAAAAGGTTTTAACTTAAAGAAATTTGGCTACAATTCAAGCATGCTAGAGAACTGTGTGTCTGTCTTCTCCAAAGCAATGGAGAAGTAAATTAGTGTGTTGGTAGATGGCATGAGCAGATGTCTATGTAGGGTAACTTACTGTGGCGACAAGAGGACAAGGATTCAGAGGTGGCTATCTAGGAAAAAAAATCTTTTCCTTTCATAGTCTTGACCTCTGAGATTACCTAGGAGAAACAAGTGAGAATTTCAGGTTCTGCTTTACTACTTCAGTCAATCGATCAGAAAGAGATAAGCACCTACTTGTGCCAGTTAAGCTTTGTTGCTCTGCACATCAATTGCCTGTAGGGCTGTTCTGCAGGTTGTTACAGGGTTATCTTGCTGGACCTGCAGATGACAAAATAGTTTGCATTTGAGTGACATAAGTATTTTTTTTGCAGATGCTTAAACAGAAATCTGGAAATATTATAAATATGTCTTCTGTGGCATCCAGCATTAAAGGTCAGTAGCTTGCTAGAGAGTTCCTTATATGAATCTTTAAAATGATGGGAATGCAAAATAAATATTGCACAACTTTCAATTTAGAGGACACTGCCAATCTTGTGGAGGGATGCAATTTAAAAAAAAAGTGAACGCATCAACTTGTACATACACGCAAGGACACAGATGGGAAATTGCAGAAACACTGAGGTCCTTGCCTTTGAGCTTGTGAATCTGTGACCTGAATGGTTTGTAGCATCCTTTTTACCAGTCTGTATTGACTAAAAGGGAATTACTTCCAGTGGTATCTTACTACATATGTTCTTCAGGGAAACAATGAAGAAACGACAGTTACGTAAGCACTATAGCTGTGCTTCCCAGGGAAACCTGATGGTGACCAACAGACAGGGCTCTGCTCTTCCTACGTCTGTTTGCTCTGTTAACTGTTCTAGACTACTCCCAAACTTACGCTATGGAAGGACCGTGTGCTTTGCTCTGGCGTGTACATGAGTCTGGCAGTCAGTGTTCCAGTTAGCCCGCCCTTATGGAGAGAGTACGGGTGCTCCAGGAAATGCTGGAGTCCTGAATAAGGTGCATATTGAATAAACGTGGGTCTCTGGTTTTTTTAATATGTTTCTATGCTGCTTTCACCCTGATGGTCTGTTAGGAGTTGTGAACAGATGTGTATATAGTACTTCAAAGGCAGCAGTTATTGGTCTAACAAAGTCTGTGGCTGCTGATTTCATTGAACAAGGCATCAGATGCAACTGCATATGTCCTGGTAAGTATTCTTACATTATTTTGTAAACTAGGAGCAGATGCTAGAAGACCCAATTTTGTTTGACATTATTCACAAAGAATAGACTTGCAAGTGGCAACTAAAGTTACAGCAATCAGAAAGAACAGGACGTGCCTGAAACACTTCTGAGATTTAAAATAGAAAAGTTGTTATTTCTATGGTGAAGCTGTATGTTTAGTCTGTTAACCCAGTATGTGCATGTTATATATGCATTACACAGTATTTAGATGTTTATTTTCAAAGACATAGTCTGGAGGTTAGAAGCAGGCAAGGGCTATTATTTAACCTTCTGAAAAGTACTGAACCTAATTCTCAAGTCTTGCCTTTTATGGAGATTGAGTCCTATGCTACATTGATAGTTTTGCAGTCCTTCTCCTGAATCATTATGAAGTTACACATAAGTGTGAAGATATACAAATAGAACCAATGAACTGCATTTTTTTTTTGTCATGATTGTCGACGCAGTTGACTTTTTAACACTGAATTTAAAATTTTGTGTAGGAACTGTTGACACACCGTCTTTACAGGAAAGAATCCAAGCCCGACCTAACCCAGAACAGGTGAGAAAGCAACTTACTAGTTTGACCATGTGTGTACATATATTTAATTTCCTTAAAAAAAAAAAAGCAGGATTTCTGCCCAGATTCAAGAATGTCCCCTATTTCAGAGTACTAACGATAACATAACAGCAGTGTCGTCTTTTGACAGTTTAGTCAGTTTGTACTCAAAGTAGAAGTCTTAAAATGTTTCGGAAGGATACTGTTGCTGAGTGAATACAGAAGGTCTGTCATCTATGGAAGTATTTGCAACCATTGGTCACAATATCTAGCACAAAAGCAGAAGACAATTTCTACTTTGGCATGTGGCAGCCGCAAACTAGTGCAAAACCATGACAGAAAAGGCATTCTGGCCTATGCATTTCAAAATGATTTGGGATCCTTAACCACACTGACTAGAAAACTGTGAGCCTTCATTTGAAAGGCCTAGGGGTATCTACCACCAAAGGAAGAAGGACTTATGTTGGCTTTATTCTGGAACCAGAGATTTGGGTCCAGCCTCCTAGTATTTTTCAACCTGAAATTCATACCACTGTTAATCTTCCAATTTCTTTTTCTAGCATAAATTCCCTACCCAGTGTACTAAAGGAAGTTATGACTCATGGCCTGCTTCCAGTATTGCTTTGTACATATCAGACTAATCAGATTAAAATAATGCTGTGCTTTTTGTATACCAAATGCTCTTGTATATCTAGGCATTGAAAGACTTTCTAGCCAGACAGAGGACCGGTAGGATGGCTACTGCTGAAGAAGTGGCCCATCTCTTTGTGTACTTGGCCTCTGATGAAGTAAGTATGGAATTATAAGATTTCCTGTAACAGAATCCCATGCTACTTTGCTTCTTCACAATAGAGAAAATCTGTTTTAGAAGGATTTATATTGTCTTTGAGCTGGATTATTACAAAAATAAAAAAACCTGATGATCTTTTACTGAGTTCAACCTACAGTACAAAAAGTACTCTGTTTACGGTGATTGTTAAGGCATTACGTATTTGGTACCATAGCCTGGTGGTTTCATATCATCTGAGCAAACTGACTGACCCTGGATCATCCTAAATGATAGGAGAAATAGGCTTGTCTGCTTTTCCAAGTTTGCACCATGTCTAGATCATGTTTTAAGGAGGTAGAATTAGTCACCACCTACCTTCACTATTAAAGAACAAATATTTGCATAGAACTGCTGGAGGTTTTAGCTAAAAGAGCTCAGAGTGAATCTACCCTTTCAGCATAAGGAAAACAATAGACCCATTGAGGTTGTTACACACCAAACTTTTAATGACCACTGCAAATACCGCCAAGACTAGGGAGCGCACATCAAGGTTATTTCGGATGCTATAAATCTACTGTGAATCTAAAATTGGACTGGGTTCCTCTGGATTTGCCGGCAGTCCTACTGAGCATAACATAATACTTTAATGGAATTAATTCAGCCTTAATGTTGCTTACTGGTAAGTAATCTGTTTCTCACTTTCATCCTGGTTTTAGTGTTTCTGTAAAGCTACTATTTTTTTCCAGTCTGGTCATAGGGTTTTCAATCATGTGTAGACAGAATTCCAGTTTTCCAATATATTCCAGTATGTGTCAGTACTGACATAGAGAAGAACATCAACAGCTCAGTTGCTTACCTCGTTATCTGCACAATCTAAATTTTCAGTTAGGTCCCCTCATAATTATTGGCTGGCCTGATCAGATTCTGCTCAGCTGAACAGAGATAATAACAGGTATTATTCCTGCAGGTGAGAGATCTGAAGTCTAGCTTATGTAAATTTGTACACTTAGGATAATTCTCATCTCTTAATGTCTCTAATAATACTTTTGCTACACTCCCCTGAGTTAGCTGAAAGGCTTCTATTTCTAAGTTTGTATTCTATTTATTCAGATATTTTTGTAAAAAAAAAAAAATGTTTGTAAAAAAGAAAGCAGTTTTTAATTTAAAGAAAAAGTGTTGCCCACTACTTAATAGCCATGAAAAATTAGTTAAAATTATTGTGACTTTTTATGTAATTTCAGTCTGCCTATGTGACTGGTAATGAACTAATCATCGATGGAGGATGGAGCTTGTGATTGACCCTACCTGCAAATGGAAATTCACACTATAAAAGGCAAAAAGTGAGGATGATGCTTGCAGAGTTAGATCACTCACCTGATGTTTTTCAAAACAAATTTGGTGCGTTTTTACTGCTGTATGATCTCTTTCTAGATTAATCTTATTGATTCATTTTTCCCTAAATAGTGAAACACTGGAATAAAGCATACTTCATGTGGCTTCATTTTATGGTAACTCCAAAAACATGAAAGAAAAGCAATTTAAGATTTCAGAGGGCAAAGAATGTTATTTAAGGTACAAAATCTGAGTGAAAGGAATTAAATACTAACTTTATTCTCATCCTGCAAAGTATTTGGAAGTTAAACGCTCACAATTAGACTTCCTACTAGCATTGACAGACTGGAGAAAATGGAGCGACTACTTTTAAATCAGCCAAACGGATCCTGAACTAAGTGTGGCTTAAACAGAACAAAGCAGAAATAACAGCAAATTTGAAGATTGGAACATTTGAATCACTTTGTTACTGGTAATAGGTGTTTCTGTGTTAGAGAACATACTAGTTGCAAACTGTACTCAAAAGCACATTCTGCTCTGCAAATTACTTTAAGTTCTTTCTGCTCTCTACTATCATTAGCAAAATGTTTTAGAACTGTAATAGCTGTAGGAAAACAGTCTGGATTATTGAAAAGAACGTCCCAGGCCTGACAACGCTTACAGATTCAAAGTGGGTGGTACAAGACAGTCAAACACACAGCAGATAGACAGTGTATGGGCACATGAAACTTCCTGTGCATAAAGAGTCAGTGTACATGCACGGCTGGCTTGTGCAACTGCAATGTCCATTTTCCAGATCCTGGGCATGTTAGGCTGTTAGAATCTAGAAAACCAGTAGATCCTAGCACAAAAGGCAGGGCTACAGATGATCATTAGAAGCAGTAGGACTGACTACTTTGCAAAGTTTGGGGATTTTTTTTTTTCATATAAGCACATAACCACTATAGACACTGTCTTCCTGAAGCAGAAATGATGGAGAGGAGCCTGCTCTAATGGTTGTTAAGACTAAAGCTTATAGCATGTGGAGAGCAGAGAGAATCACATGTACTTTTACAACCAGTTAGAAAATGAGTACATTAACTGGCACAAAAGAGATCCTAGTGGGAAAAAGAGAGGCCAGAACTGTTTCATTGTTATAGATCACTTCTAAAATGGTCTTGGAAGTATCATTACTATATTCCAGCCACCCCCACCCCCCTTCCACATACAGAAAGTATTATGCAAGGACATCTCTCTGGTAGGCATGGATGGGGTTATATGTGGGAGAAGTATTCTTAAATACGCAGATGGGTCTTCATGAATATGCTTGACTTCTGGCACACAAGCCAAAGGAGTGGGTTTTACCACTCTAGATAGGGCTAATATATTCCTCTTCAAAAGAACGTACTAATATTGGACAAATATTGTCACATCTGTCTGCTAGGTGCTAGGCTTTGGTGTTCTGTTGCTTAATTCTCAAATACCCTTACAGTTCATGCTAATGCACAAGGTTAAGTTTCTCTGAAAAGGACTGTTTCTACAAGAGTTTGTGTTAAAGTTGTTATTGTGATAGCACATGGTAGCTTTGATTTATGAATCTGAAACCTATTATCGTAAAGTCTCATACTCTGGAAAAAAAACATAGATCCTGACCCAGAGATCTAAGGCAATGAATAACCTGAAGTCCAAAACTATTTGTTTTGCTAACATACTGTTAAATTTGACATGAATGACATGGGCTGACTGCCTGTAAATAAGGTTGCCTTAAAAAAAAAAAAAATTGCACACAGCTCTATTTTTATCTAGTTTGTGAATGAAGCTGTATACAATTTCACATATATTCATATACATTAAATACATACATATGTGGGGGGAGGAATTAATGAATAAATGCTACTGACTATGATCAGTAATCAGAAAGCACAGGGAAAAATGTACAATATCTGCCTGTAAATAAGGTTGCCTTAAAAAAAAAAAAAATTGCACACAGCTCTATTTTTATCTAGTTTGTGAATGAAGCTGTATACAATTTCACATATATTCATATACATTAAATACATACATATGTGGGGGGAGGAATTAATGAATAAATGCTACTGACTATGATCAGTAATCAGAAAGCACAGAGAAAAATGTACAATATTTTGTTTGTGCTTCTGTAACAACTGCCATGTTTTAAAAAATATTGCTTAAGCTTTTCAGTATTAGCTGAAGCAGTAATATAAATTGTTTGATTTCAAAGATAATGGAACATGTCTAGTTAAAATCAGGATGCTTATTTGTAAGTGTTACATTTACTTATTGTTTCTAAATGAGAAAGTATTGTGGATGTTGGCTTCCTGAAGCTCACAATGGGTTTAACTTTTACCTTTAATCATGGTTGGAGCATTGTCATCTTGTGTAGTTTGCTTATGGGGTTTTGAGTATCTAGTATTTCAGTAAAGTGACCCTGGCAGCCAAGCAGGATCAAGTTGAAGCAGAAATCCAAAGTTACCCAAAACAGCTCTGCTAATATTCACTGACGTAAATTCAAATGTTGAAAGTTCAGGCTGGCAGGGTACTGTTTCAATGCTTCCAGAGTTTAATATGAAGGCCAAAGTCCTTCCTCTATAGTAGGTGTAGAAGGCTTACCTTGAAAAGAGAATCTCCCCACTGCGCTAACACAGAGTGCTTGCACTGTCTATTCTGAAAATATACTTAAGAATCTGAGAGAAAATTAATTACATGTATTGCATATTGAACTTTGTTAATATTTCTAAGCTCACTAAGTCACATAAGACTATGATATATAGATGCTACTCAAATGGGGTTTTGTCAAAGAAATCCTGCAAGAAAAGGAAATACCATCTACTTTTTACATTGCACTAAAAGCACAGATTTTTTCAGAGATAGTCTGAGAAGGTCTAAAAAGAGAAGTCTGAAAAAATCAACAGAGATTCCTGTCAACGCTTTTCATGGATGTGTTAACAGCTACTACTCTGAAATGTGTTCTAATGTCTAGGGGTTTTCCAGCAGACTTGCTGGAATTATTAAAGGGGAATGCTTCTTAATGCTCTTGTGACATCTTAATTCCCTGGTCTGTTTTTAATGAAACTGGGTAACTCTGTTTCTTTTCCTCCCACCCCAGTGATAATACAGAGGAGTGTTTTGACTTTTCAGATTCTAGGTCAAACTTTCTGTTGTGGGGGAGGAGGGGAAGAGACTTCCCTGATTCAGACTCGTTCTGGAAAATTTAATCTGATCAAAAAAGTGCTTTTTTTTTTTTCTGTCAGATTTGTAGTCAGCTTAATTGTGTGTAATGCTACTAGGAGCAAAGCAGCAACATCCTGCACTTGAATCCGCTTCCACATGCAGCCAGTGCAGCTTGCAAAATGAGGTTGAGAGAGGTCTGTCTCGTTCCCTCATGGGCACTTACAGGTGAGGTGGACACACTTGATTCTTCTTTAAGAAGTAGAAATGTCTTGATGGGAACACCACAAATATGCAAATTTTTTTTAATTCTCCTTCCTGCTCCAAGGCAATTCTTCTGCATTCATCCAGAGTAGAATCATCTAGAGATCCTTATCCTTTCTTTGCACCTAACCTCCAACTGCAGTGCTACAATCGGAGTAAGAGGATTGTGTGTAGCTTCCCCATGTCCCTTCCCACAGCCCCGGGAACGGCAGCAGAGAACATGGCCTTTTTAATGTCTACAGGTTACAATGAAATGCAGTGTGGGAAGTGGAGGGCTGGCTATGCGAGATGCAGAAATCTGCTTCCTTCTCAGCCCTCATCCTCCTGGATGCTGTAGGCTCAAGGCTGGTCCATTGCTGAAACCAAATCTGACACCTCTTTGACAGCTCAGATACTGCCCAGCAGTGACCTGTGCGCAGGGCCAAGGGATAGCAGGGCCCTTTCCATCTTAAGCCAGGCTGAGGGTTTAGCTGCTGGTCTAGTGAAGCCTGTGGCTTTGGAGGATTTAGCTGCTGATCTAGTGAAGCTGTGGGTTTGGAGGGAGGGACTGTGGCAGCAACAGCAGGGGAGGAGGAGCCAGAGCTGGCACCGAGCTGTTGGTGCTGGCAGGCAGTGGGTGATCCCTTCTCCATCTCCGGGCTGAGGCACCAGCCCTGCCAGAGAGGCTGCCCGGGGAGCGGTGCCTTCGCTCCCATCCCTGCCGTTCCCCAGGGAAGTTTTCTGCCCCTCTGTCTCCTTGTGTCTCCATCCCCGGCAGCAGGAGAGGTAAGATGGGGGGCTGATAGCTGGCTTTGCAGGAAGGAAGCTGCTGGGGGAGGCGGGGAAGGAGGTTGCATCAGGATTTACTTACGTCTTTTTGTGGGTGATGATGCATGGTTTGGGTTGGTTTTATTATTATTTTTTTTTCCTCCCCTGAATGTTAGTTGCTCTGGCGGTGGTTGTGGTATTTTATTTGTATTCCTTTCTGTACTGTGTGTGCGCAAAGCAGAACAGTGACAGTCACCAGGGCGATACAGCTAATAGCACAGGCACGCACATGCTGCCCTGTCAGTCACCTCGTCAGTTCAGCTCTCCCTCTCTTTCCTCCTCCCTACCAATTAAAAACAAGTAAAATGAAAAAATGTAATAGAAACCTATAATTAACCTTTCTTGTCTCAAAATAAGGGAAGTATATTTTACAGGGAGGTGCTGAAATAAGTCTGTTACTGGCTGGTTGCCATGGCACAGGCCTTAACCCTGTGGTATGAATTCTGCTCTATGATTTCTCAATGGCTGATTTTATGTGTATAGGAGGTGAAGTGAAAAAAACAAACCCACAAAAAAAAAAAACAAAACACAACAAACCCAAACACAAAAACAAAACATGAAAACAGCAACATAAAAAACCTACTCTGGAGCCCCGTCACAAAGCAGGTAAGGACAGCGCATCCGTTATCAGACTCCTCATTCACACCCTGAAACCATTCCTGCGAAGCAGAACATCCCCTCTCCTTGCTCAGTCAATCTTTTCTTTCCTATATGCTACTGTGAA